GTGGCTTAGTGGTGTTGCTGCCCCAAGAGAAGTTGGGATGCTGGCGCCACCCCTCATTATATGTGGTGCTGTACGGGTCGAGACGCCGAGCATTGGCGATGAAGTCCAACTGCTCCTGGGGGGTAGTAGACTCCCTCATAGCCTGGCAGTCTTCTACTAAGTGGCTCGAGCTCTCACGCCACTGACACTGAGCAACTGGAGGTGTAGCCATACCTCTGCCCGGAATAAGACTGTTGGGCTGCTTCAATGTCTGCACTAGCTCAGCTACCTGCTGCTCGAGTCCGGATCTGGACTCCATGGCGTGCACACCACGGTCCCTGGAATGTCTGCCTCTGCTGCTCTGCCCCCAGGAATGATCTCTGGCAGCCAATGTATTAATCATCTGGTTCTGCTCGGGTGGAGTCTTAGTGAGAACATCCCCTCCTGGGCATAGAGACTCAATCACCCTCTGGCTATCTGGAGAGAGGGCACTATAAAAGTTCCCCACTGTGAATGCATCACTGAAGCCATGATGGGGGCACTGCCAGAAATATCCCATGTACCGCTCCCATGCATCACGAAGTGACTCATCTGGCTCCTGGCGGAAGTGAGTGATCTCCCGCTGAATCTCTGTAGTCTTCGATGCCGGATAGTACCTATGCACGAATTTGTCAGCCAGATCGTCCCAAGAGGTGATGGATAATGGGGGCTGGGTCTCCAACCACCTCTTAGCATTCCCCGCCAGAGAATGAGGGAAGAGATGAAGGCGGATTGCATCATCCGGGACACCATTCAGCTTGAACCCGTTTGTCAGCTGCAGAAAACGGGACAGATGTACCCTGGCCTCCTCATCCTTCAAGCCATGGAACTGGATGGAAGATGTAATGAGCTGAATGCAGCATGGCTTGATCTCGAAGTTGTTTGCTGGGATAGGCGGGTAGAGGATGACCGGGCGGATGTCAGCAATGCGAGGAGTGTAGTAGTACTCCAAGGTGGGACCCGGCTGCGGTGGATGATGAACTCCATGATCCTGGGGTATGGGGTTGTTCCCCAGGACCTGATTCACCGGGGGAGCCTGCTGAGGATTCCCCTGGTGTTGATTGTAGTCTTCCATCTCGTACTCCTCTTCAGAATCACTGCTCACGTGGCCGTCTATGCGCTCTTCCGTAGCCAGTCTAGCTCGCTGTTGCCTCCTGAGTTGGCGACAGGTGTGTTCAATCTCTGGATTCAACGGCAGTAGACCTCCCGACTGGCTACGGGTCATGCACTACCTGCACACAATCAAGCAAGCAAACCCGTGAAGGCACAAGTGGGAAAAAGCAAAAATGCGAAAAGAAAAGCTAAATTAACAGAAATCACTTTTCTTCAACAATCTAGCCCTCCCCGGCAACGGCGCCAAAAACTTGACTCGCCTCTACTGCACTCCAGGAATTGGCCAAGTGAAACCACTTCTTAAAGCGTAGTATAGCGGGTTTGGGTTTAATTATCAACCCGGGTCCTAGATCTGATGACTACTCAGTGAATTCTTGTTATCTAGCAATGAAACTGGCATGCAAGTCTAAACTATCAAACTAACAAAGCAAGTAAATTGTTGTATTCAGGTTAAGAGAGGTCACCCGAATATGGTTCCCCCTAGACTGCAGTTAAGCCGGATTGTAATTACCAAGTTCAATTTCTATGATAGTTATACTGCGGAAGGTTCTTAAACAGCCTGAAGTCTCGACTAAAGGTCTTCAGACCCTCTCAATCTAAATCTTTAGCGGGCGACTAACCTCCACCGAAGTAGACAGATTGAGGCCCTAAGAACAAAACCTCCACTACCGGAGTAAATCCGGTACAGAATAGTGAGTTGGCTCCTCGACTAAAGTCACCAACTCCCTACCTTCAATCAAGGATACTCTATTAACCTAGTCAGATATTCTCATTCCAGGTTAAAGCAGAAACAACAGGAATTTGATCAGGATTCAAGTCATTCAATCAATAAAACCTCAATAGAATATAATCAATCATAGAATCATTACTTGGGTTCATACAATCAAACCTAACATACAAATCTAGGGTTCTCCATACCCAGATGAATGGAAGAACTACTCCATGGAGAAGAAAGCAAAAGCAGAATCAGACGCGGAATTCATACTGTGAAGGATGGATTCCTGCTCCTGGACGTTGATCGGCACTTCTCCAAGCTCAAACTGGCCTCCAATGGTGTTGAAGATCAATCTAGGGCACTTGGAGACTCTTGTTCGTCACTTTCTCTCTCTAGGAATCGTTCTATCTCTCAAAAACTCGAATCCCCTTTCTCTTTGGCTGAAAATCTGCTTAAAAAGGCATAAGTGGCCAAAGCACGGTCGAGGACACGGCCGTGCTTTGCCTGAGTCCGCCCGTGTCTCGGCCAAGGTTAATTACACGGCCAGCAGTTGGGAGGAAACACGGCTGTGCTTCGCGTTGGATACGGCCGTGTAATGCTTGAACACGGTCGTGCTTTGTCTCGGCCCTACCCGTGTAATCAGCTCAGCTCTCGGCATAAAAAGCACGGCCACAGGAACACGGCCGTGTAATGCCTTAGGTGTGCCCGTGTTTTGGCCCCAACTTGACGAAATGACCTCCGAATGCCCCGAAACTCGTGGTTAGCCTTCCCTTTGACGCCTGGGACCTGAAATATGACAAAATAGCACAACCCGGCGTAAAATAGGCCAAAACACACGACTATACCCCTCAAACGGATAAGAACTAGGGGCGCAAACATGTGCAATTACATCGTTATCAATAGGGAATATTAAGAAAAGAACAGGGGATAATCTGTGAACAAATGAACACATTAGTGTCATATTTTCAAAATATCTGAAGGGGTAAGATAATTCAAAATTCAGTCATTAAATTCTTTAGAAATCTAACACTCTCAAAATTTCTCATTCAGTGAGCTCTTCTCAAACGAGAAATTTGAACGAAATCGGACACAATAAAGGATTTCTGCAAAATCATACAGCCAAATCCTCCTCCAAACGACCCCATAGTTTTTTTTTTAAGATTTATATTATTCAATATTTGAAATTTTTAAAAATCAATACAAATAATAAAATCCTATACTAAATTTTGTTTTAACCTATCGAATTGTTTTAGTTAGTGCTAAAATAGAAAATATTAAGCGCAATGTACAAAATCAATCCAATCAAATTGCAAACACAGTTAATACTTAATTGTTTTCCATCCTATACAACCCAACCCGTTCTTCTGATAAATGCATTTCTTGATCTAATCATCTAATAAGTTAATGACTTATAATTTTTTTTTTTTCAAAATACACTTGTCTAGCAATAACTTTTATATTTATGATAATTATAGTCATAACTATCTGAAAACACAAAATAGCCAATTCCGTTCATTTTTTTAACGGCATCAGTTGACGATATAACTGGACTAACAGAAGAAGCTGAATTGGCGATTGATTTACCCACCAACCGACATGGATTATAAAGAAAAAAAAATAAACAAAACCAGAAAGCGACTAGACCCTTTGTTTCTTCCCTTCCCCGCCGCTACTCTTCCCGAAAGCGCGATCTCCCATCTTCCCCTTCTTCTATGAATCTCCCCATCAATCTCTCCTTTTCATCCTCTTAGCCTTCGTCTTAGCTCTCTCCTCCGCTTAATTTCCACCGCCGAAGATGCATCTCTAGCTTACGGAAAGGCGGTGTTCAAGCTCCTCCATTCCTCCAACAACGGCAAGAAGCCTGCAGAGTGCAGAGAGCTCACCAGCAGCTCGAATCTCTCTCTTCCAAGGTCAATTCCGACAGCTCTACCATCATCACCACTCCTCATCCAGCAACAACATTGACGAAGACAGCTCAATCCGGCGCTAAAGGCGGTGATGGAGAAGTGCGATGGAGGGGATGACTCTTCTTCCGCCAACGCCAAAAGGAGGCAGCAGATCTGGATCCAGATTTCCCCTCATTTCGCCGGCCGATCGATGGGTAGCGACGAAGAGACCCACCGCCGCAGTAGATAACAAGGCGCTTGTAGCGACGAATAGGCCCACTGTCATCGCTTGTAGCTGATTTGAGATGACGTGTGCGCTGATTTGGCGTCCTAATCAGCGTAACGCTAATAGAACTAACGGTGTTTCTAACACCGTTAAAGTTTCTAACGAAAATGGGAAATACTTTTAAAGTTTTTAACGGAAATGACTAGATTTGTCAGACTACTATCCTATTTTTGGGCTATTTTGTGTTTTTCGATAGTTATAGTTATATGGCTATACAAGTGTATTTTGCATTGTAATGAATGTTAAATCGTTGCATTGTAATGAATCACCATAATATAAATTGTTTGGTTGTTGAGATTCTACTTTGTGCATTGATTTATATAAAGTTACTTTTATTGGGAAATGTTACATTTACCCTCAAATTTTAGAATAAGACAAAAACTACTGGGGATATAAATGAAAAGAAAAAGCTTGACACAATGCATGCATTGTTTAACAGTTTGGACTTCCAAACATTGTATTGTGCACAATACATATATTCAACAAACACAACTCTAACAATCACAACTTCCAAACTACCGCTAAGTGAATGACTTAGAAGTTTGGATGTCAATGAATTATCCAGAGTCCGGACTTGACTCAACGGGCTCATAGTCCAGACCTCTTAAGAAGGTCCGCAGAGGAGAAGAGGGGATATGAAGAAGTCCAAGCCCAATAACACCAAAAACTGCAATTTTCAGAATTTACAAAACCACCGAGGAAAAACACCCGCCACTTCTTATGATCACAACAAGACAACAAAGTACGTACCTTCTTTGCCCATCCACTCTCATCTCTTCTTCACCCTCTTCATGACCAAGAGAACCCAAATCATGCTTACCATCAGACAAATTCACTCCCTCCATAATCACAACTTCTTTCATGAAGGAAGCCCAGATTTCATCAGCCCAATCAAAACGTTTCCAGTCCACAATGTCCCCTGTTCCTGTTGTATGAACAGAGCCAGAGCCACTCTTTTTTTCGTTCCATACCGGAAGACAGGATGCTGAGCAGCCATTGTAGCAGTAATCAGCAGCAGCAGAGGCAAGTTCTATGGGGTATCCCATTGCCACGGAATCAAATTTATAGCAGCTGTCAGTCGATGGCAAATGGATCTAACAAGAAGAGGCTGACAAGGGGCAATCTCCAACGCCTCCGGACAGGGATAAACAGTGGTGCTGCTAAAACAGATGGAGTGAATCATGTCGCGGCAGCAAGCAGGACTTCCACCACACAATCAGAGGTAATGTTTAACAAGTGCACTTATGGGATAGTAACTAATTAGAACTAATTCATTGTCGCATTTCCCAAATGGAGAGTAGAAAGGAAAACACTGTTGCTGGAGTATCATTATTCATTATCAATTGGTACTATAGTCTATAGTTCGTTATGATGAAACGAGTCATCGTTGGCACCTTTAGGTCTAAGAATGAGAACTCCAGCTTAGAATTTTGGGTTTACTTCATCTCGTTGGTACCGCTAAACTAGAAGCCCTTTGGCGAACCGTAGGAAGTTCAACTTAGTTCATTAATTTAGAGTGGCATTGAGCAGCCGAGCAGGGGAACTTTGAAGATTAACATTTGATCCCACTCACCAGAATCATTAAATCCCAATTCATATCACTGCCGCTCTTTCTCACTCACCAGTCACCAGAATACACTGCAGGCTACTACTCATGATGACAAGCTGATACAACATTATGTTCCAACTTTTGTCATGCTCCCAGTAAGTACTTGCTCACTACTTAAATCTTGATTAGCCTCTGTGCACCCAATTCTTCGGCTACAAAATATTAGCTTTCTGGATCGTTTACGATTTGGCTGTAACAATTGTCCTTTCTTTTGGGGGTCAGCTGGGAGTAGTTACAGCTGAGAATGTGATTGTGGACAAGGCCAAGCTGGAGAAGCAACTCAAGGAGCTCAAGGCGGCCGAGATCGACGGGGTGATGGTGGATGTCTGGTGGGGGATCATTGAAGCCAGAGGGCCTAAACAATACGACTGGAGTGGCTACAGGGAGCTCTTCCTGCTGCTCAAGAAATTGGACCTGAAAATCCAAGCTATAATGTCGTTTCACCAATGTGGTGGCAACATTGGGGACAATGTCTTCATCTCTCTTCCTCAGTGGGTCCTTCAAGTTGGAGAGACAGACTCAGATATCTTCTACACCAATAGGGCTGGCGCCAGAAACAAGGAGTACCTCTCCCTCGGTGTGGATCACCTGCCTCTTTTCGGTGGCCGGACTCCGGTCCAGGTGAGACCTTGGCCACAAACTAACAAAACTGTGATAAACAGCTTTGGGTTTTAACGACTTTAGACACCTTATTCTTATATAAAAGCCTTGGTTAAGACTGTCTCCAACCCAAGCATGCAAATTTGGAGAGAGGGAGGTTTTTGGCCTTTTTCATCTCCAACTCTCCAATTATTTGGTTGCAAATTTGGAGAAGTGGGCTTGCGGGTGGATAGCTAGAAGCTCATATGGAAAAATGCAAGGAGAAGGTGGGGGGACCAACCATGGAACCCAAGCCCACACGCTGGGGCCCTCCACTTTAAATCATCTTTTTTGTTTTTTACTTTCTTAATTTTTGATTGGTTGGTTATGAGTTGGGAAGGCAAATTTAGAAGGTTTAGGGTTGGAGCAAAAAAGTGTTTTTGGAAGATAAAAATGCACATTTAAGAGCTTGAGAGGCTAAATATAACCTTTTGGGTTGGAGTTAGTCTAAGCATCTTCTATTCATTAGGAAGTTTTTTTTTTATAATTTTAGCAAAGATTAAGGTCAATCTTTCAAAAGTTACATATGGCAACCACTTAAAGAGACATATGTCAACATGTTTTTATTTATTTATTTTAATTCAACTTATGTTCTCCATATTTCATTTCTCTCTCTATTTCTTATATTTTTGTTTGTTGTTCTTAAATCGCTTTTGTTGTTCGTATTTGATTTTGTTTGCTTACTCATCTCTCTCGGGTGAGACATGCTTTCATGTTTGATTTTGCATTTTAATTATCTCTCCTGCTTGAGGTCGTATATGATGTTAAATTGAAAAGAACGAAAGTAGCCTTGGCACCAACGATACTAAATACTAGGTTCTTCCGTCTTTTTACCTTTGCTTTTGTTGATTTATTATGTCTTATCTCTCTCGGGTGAGACATGCTTTCGTATTTGATTTTGCATTTTTAATCATCTTTCCCACTCGAGGTGATGTTAAATAGAAAAGAACGGAAGTAGTCTTCGAACCAACGAAACTAAATACTAGGTTCTTCTATCTTTTTCCTTTGCTTTTGTTGATTTATTATATTATTTTTTCATCTTAGTTTACAATCCTTAATAAATTCCAAGTTTATCCATTTGTTTGTTGGGCTAAAATAGAAGCATAATATATCGATAAAATATCTGATTAATAGTTGTCAACCTCTAAATCAGACAAATACTTCTTCATCAATATTGTGTAGATTGTCCTCCTCTGATCCATAGCCTCATTGGTCAGAATGCAAATTGTTATGGAGTTCTCCCACGACATCTTTGTGATTTTTTTTGCTACTTTTGTAATTGCCTTATGAATTATATTTTGTTAAATATTTCATAAAACACAATTATTATGTTACCACATTTGAAAAGGTACTTTACTACATGCAGATGTATGGGGATTTCATGAAGAGCTTCAGGGAAAGCATGGCGGATTTCCTTGAATCAGGGTTGATAATCGACATTGAAGTTGGGCTTGGACCTGCTGGGGAACTCAGATACGCTTCTTACCCTGAAACCCAAGGATGGGCTTTTCCTGGAATTGGAGAATTTCAGGTGTTATAACAACATTGATGTGCATCACATAACATAACAGAACAGTTCATTCTTTTCTTGAAGCTGTGATGAGAAAGAGGAATGATCCAGAATTTTCTTTCACCTGTAGTGCTATGACAAGTACCTGGCAGCTGATTTCAAAGAGGCAGCAGCGAAAGCAGGGCATCTTGAGTGGGAATTGCCTGATAATGCAGGGGAATACAACAGTAGACCTGACCAAACAGCCTTCTTCAGATCAAACAATGGCACTTACATCACTGAAAAGGGCAAGTTTTTCCTGACCTGGTATTCCACCAAGCTGCTGCTCCATGGCGACAACATCATTGATGAAGCTAACAAGGCCTTCCTGGGCTGTAAACTCAAATTGGCAGCCAAGGTAATACACCATGATGATGCAGGGGAATACTTGAACATGTGTAACAACTAACAACTAACATGTAATACCAGAATCTATGTTGGTGACTGCAGGTTTCAGGAATCCACTGGTGGTACAACCATCCAAGCCATGCCGCAGAGCTAACAGCAGGCTACTATAATTTGCCTGATCGAGACGGGTATCGTCCCATCGCCAGGATGCTGTCCAGGCACAATGCCATTCTGAACTTCACTTGCCTGGAAATGAGGAACTCCGAGCAGCCTGCTTACGCCAAAAGTGCCCCTCAGGAGCTGGTTCAGATGGTAAAAATAGTAAAATTCGTCACACTGCAAGTCTGATTTTTCAACAGACATGGAATCAAGCTCTTGTCTTAACAACTCCTGAATACACCAATGATAATAAGTCAGGTTTTGAGCGACGGATGGAAGGAAGGGATCGAGGTGGCAGGAGAGAATGCCCTGGCCAGGTACGATGCTGATGGCTACAATCAGATCCTTCTCAATGCCAGGCCTAATGGCGTGAGACCGGCCATGGAAAGAGAGAAGAAGCTGAGGATGTATGGAGTCACAATCCTTCGGCTGACGGATGATCTGATGCGGCCCAACAACTTGGATCTGTTCAAGAAGTTCGTCAGGAAAATGCATGCTGAGCAGGTAGCTACTATTATTTAACACTTAAGATTGCATCATCTTATTCATGAGACTGAAATGCTCCAAAAGTACTAATACAGTATTGGTCAGGCGGAGGCAGGGCTTTTGGGCCTTGTCCCGGGACGGGGGTAAATTTTCGAAAAATAAAAATAGACCATATATATTTATATTGGTGATGGAACACAACACTTATAAGTAGTATTAGAGTATTTTGTTACTACAACACAACTCATTACTTGTTTAAAAAATAACATAAAATTAATTTATTATACTATAAACGAAATTCCAATTGTAATAAAGACCTAATCGGATCTCTTTTTTCCTTACGCCTGTTCAATCTTTTCCCCAACAACCCTGAACTTGTCTAGCGACAGCGACAATTCCACTAATAATTTTGATTCTACCAATTACAATTACAAATGTAAAAAAAGCAATTTCAACTTTGAGTTATATTAAGAAAAGGTTTCCAAGTCGATTTGGCGACCAGTTTGCTCATGCTTGTTTGGTGAGATACATTGAGAGAGATTTATTTAATAGTGTAGACAACGAATGTTTTTGCGTTTCTTTCACGATATGAAATTCTTTCGTGGTTGTTTATGAAAATAATGATTGTATAGTTGGTTATTTTTAATCTATGAATGAATTATTTGGATATAATTAATTTCAATTATTTTATTAAATAATTTTTAGTTTAATACTTATATATTACATTTTTTTTTTTGAAAAAATTTATATATTACATTATGTAAAGAGGACATGGGTAGTTTGAAATGCTGCCTCCGCTTGGATGAAGCTTCTGTGAAGAGTTGTTATGCTAAGGTTTAATTTTGTTCATCAGGATTACTGTCCAGAAGTGAGCAAGTATGGGCATGAAATTGATAGATTGGTACGGTCAAAACCGAAGTTGAGGACAGAAGAGCTGTTGGAGTCAACAAAGCCGTCGGAGGCATTCCCTTGGGATGGTGAAACCGATATGCCTGTGGAGCCTGTAGGTGTATTTGCAAGATTCCTGAGGACAATTTCCTCCATATTTTCGACTGACAGTGGGCAGCGGGAGTAAACCCCCTTTCTGAAGAATTGAATGAGTTGATACTTTATTTTGTAAATGTGTAAATTTCATCACATCACACTTCGTTTGTGGCAGACTTTCATATAATTATTTAGTGAACATAAAGAACCACATTAAATTTGTTTTCATCGAAGTAGACATAATTAGTCTTAATCATCAAAAACAATGATTTTTCTTTCATGGATGTTTATTGATAATAGTGGAGTTACGTTTAGTTCAATGTTAGCAACTTTACATAACATCCAAATCATTCTTTATGTACTATTGTGAAGTTCTTTTTTGGCGCATTTAATACATGTATTTTAAGACATTTAGTTATTTATATTAATATTATACATTTTAAGTATTTTATATCTCATATTGAACTCTTAAAATATTTTATAAGATCACGTGCACATTAATATTGTTATGTACCCATATATAGTGATCTAAACACTCGCAAGAAAGATTTTACATAATGATTAAATTGACGTCATCAAGATTCATGATCTTAAGCTATGACTTCTAATTGTTAAATGTTTAATCGCAATAGGCCTTCTATCTTAATCTGGATTTCATGACTATATCAATTAGCTATTAATTGAAGATGTTCTATTGTTATATTTTTTTTGGGTGAAAAACGGGTGCAGAGCACCGCTACCTCTTAATCATTAATCAAACGTGGGGAAGAGCCCCCAACCAGATCATACATGGCCCAATGTCTAATATCCGGATCTGAAATAGAAATGTCATGGGAGCCTATCGGCAAGAGATGCCCCTTGTGGGCAATACAATCAGCAAGACAATTGGCATCCCTGTAGATATGATGAATGGAAACCTCCCAGTCTCGAGCGAGCAAGGCTCGATAGTCCAGAATGAGTCTGGCGTGCTGGCTGCTCACCTCGCCCGTGTCCGTCAGTAACGCCACCACCGTATGTGAGTCAGTTTGGATCGACACTCGTCTATGTCCTGCAGCCCAGGTGATCTCCAGTCCTTGTACGACTCCCCATAGCTCCGCGCGAGTGATCGTACATTTTGCCAGGTTCATTGCGTAAGCCCCCAATAAGCAACCCTGCCAGTCTCTAAGCATCCCTCCTGCGGCGGTAGACCCTGATGTTCGCAAGAGCGAACCATCCGAGTTCACTGTGATCCACCCTGCCGGGGCCGGTCTCCACCCAACGGCCACGCTTCGACGGGACCCTGACCTCCACAGTGATATAACTTGATCCGCTGCCATGTTGTTTTGTATGATGACCTCCCAGGCAAGGATCCTTTGCGATAACTTATTAGGGTCTTCCACAATGGATGAGAAAACGAGATCATTGCACGAACGCCAGAAGAACCAACAAGGGAGACCGAAACATACCTGGTGAGATGGGTTCTTGAGGAATGAGAGAAACCACTCAATAAAGGGCTGGTGGGACGCTGCCGTTTGGGTTGCCTCTGGGAGAATACGCCGCCAAACCTCTCGGGCTAGAGTACAGTCCCGCATGATGTGGTGGATAGATTCCTCTTCGTTCGAGCAGCGTGGGCATCTGTTGCTTGCCGTAAGGTGCCAATGCCGTCTTTCCACGTTGGTGAGGAGGCAATTGTAGGAGGCGATCCAAAGGAAATGTCGTACTCTGTTCGGCCCTGGCCACCGCCAGATCGTCTTCCCATCGGAGTCGCCGTCTTCGCGATCTATGTCCACCATCAAGCAGTATGCGAATTTGAAAGTGAAGGTGTGGTTCGGTTCGAGACCCCAAACCAGCGTGTCCTTCCCCAAGTGCATTTTAGGAGGAGGCGTCCCTGCAAGATGCAACAAAAACTCGTTAGCTAGATATTTCTCCAGCGTCTCCATGTCCCACGTGCTCTCCGGGGTCACCATGTTCGCTACCGTAGCTTCAGCAGGGAAGTCGCCATCCACATTGTGCGCCACGTCCCTGAGGAGCACTCCACTGTCCAGCCAATTGTCGAACCATAAGGATGTGGTAAGTCCATCCCTAACGCTCCATCTCATGCCTTCCAGCATAGCATTCCATACCCTGGGAATGCCACGCCAAACGCACGACTGCATTCGCAGTTCTATTCCGTTAGGACCGTCTTTTAAATATTTTTCTTTAACAACTCTTAACAAATCATCAGGATTTTTCAGCATATGCCTGACTAGTTTGACGAAGTATGCTGAGTTCATGTCACGTGTGTTACGAAGTCCTAGCCTGCCCTAGTCCTTTGGTTTACATACCGTCTCCCAGTCGATGAGATGGATGCGCCTCCGTCCCTGTTGTCAGCCCCAGATGAAGACCCTTATCTTCTGATCGATGTAGTCACAGATGTAAGCTGGCAGGACTACAGTTTGCATTGCATAAGACGGTATGGCATTCAACACCGATTGTGCTAGAGTTACTCGTCCCGCGATCGAGAGATTTTCAGCTTTCCACCCTGCAAGTCGTTGGTCAATCCTCTCAATGACGTACCCGTAGGTATGTTTGGTGACCCAGCCATGGAGGACAGGAACTCCCAGATACCTTCCCAGATCCTGCGTGATTGGAATCCCCATACTCTCGCCGATGGCCTTACACTAGTTCCTCTGCAAGTTCTTGGAAAAATAGATTCTCGACTTTTCCTTGCTAACATGCTCTCCTGAGGCTTCACAAAAGGCGTTGAGGCAATCCATGATGACTTCCCCTTGTTGACTGGAGGCTTCATCAAAAAGTATGAGGTCATCTGCAAAGAACAAATGGGTAAGTCTTGTTCCCCCGCATACTAGTTGAATTGGCTTCCACCTCCCACTAGTTGCTACTTCCTGAATCAGATGACTCAAGCATTCAACGCATAGGGTGAAGAGGTACGGAGATAGAGGGCACCCTTGTCGTAGGCCACGAGTCGGTGTGAATACTTCCGTGCATTCTCCCTCCCAGAGAACTTCAAAAGCAGGTGTTGAGATGCACGCCATCATTGCCCTTACAAAGGTCTCCGGAAGGCTTGCGGCCACCAGCGTTTCCTCCACGAACTTCCAGCTTAGGTGATCGTACGCTTTGGCTAGATCGACTTTGAGGACCATATGCGCCACTTTCCCCATCTTTGTGTGCATGGAATGAACAAATTCTGCAAAATAATAATGTTATCTTGAATATGGTGACCCAGCACAAAGCTCGTCTGCGTTGGGTGAACCGACTCTGACATCAACGGCTTCAGTCTGTTCGCCAAGACCTTGGTAAGCGCCTTATAGGACACATTGCAAAGGCTGATCGGGCGAAATTCAGAGGCCATGGTCGGCTTCTACTACTTGGGGATGAGCACCAGCAGCGTTTCATTCACGCCTCTGATGATCTCCGGGCACTTGAAACAAGAGGCAACAAACCGTGAAAAATCGGCTCCCACCGTGCCCCAACACTTCTGATAGAAGATCGGTTGGAAACCATCTTTCCCGGACGCTTTGTACGGTCCCATATTCCGGATCGCCTCAAGCACCTCCTCTGGCATGATATCTCGAGCAAGAGGCTCGGTCGAGGTCCCCCTATCCGGGAAGCTAGCAATTATTACCCTTCCAAAGTTCTCCAATTCCGTCAAAGCAAGTCGATAGAAATCGCGAACGAGGTTCTTGAGGGTTTCTGGGTCTTCGATCCATTCGCCCATATGATTCTTAAGCCTCTTAATTTTATTCCTGCTCCGGCGTTTGAGGGTAGTGAGGTGGAAGAAGCAGGTATTTTTGTCCCCTTCGGCGAACCACTGTGATCGTGATTTCTGGAACCAGAGCACTTCTTCTTCCTTGAGGACTATTTGCAGCTTTCGTCGCACTTCCTCTTCCTCGGCCATGGTATGCGGAGAAGGGTTCCACTCATTCCTCTCCTCCAGCTTGCGTAGGCTAGCCGGAAGCTCCTTGTTGAAGGTAAAAATATTACCAAAGACATTCTTGTTCCAGGCTCTAAGATTGTTGGTCAGCATATGGATGGAGGTTCTGAAGCTCGCCCCAGCCTCCCAACTCTCCTGCAAGACCCCCCGAAGTCATCGTGTAGCAGCCACGGAGCTAGGAAACAAAAGGGCTGACTACTCCTTCCTCGTCCAGTGGGGGATTCATTTGCCACTAGGATGGGTCTATGATTGGATTTCACTCATTCCAGGTGTCTGGTCACCGTCTCGAGGAACTTCTGCATCCACCCAGAGTTGCAGATCCCTCGGTCAAGTCGTTCTTCAGGGATCCTCTCCCCCATGTGAATCGCGGTCCAGAGAACTGGATATCTATTAGACCACATTCCTCCATATATTGCTTGAAGTCACGACTTTGGTTGGAGAACGCATTGTAGCCTCCCTGCTTGTCTTGAGGGCCAAGAAGCGCATTGAATTCTCCCACGAGGATCCAAGGGACTGTGGTCACACTGGATAAACTTCGAAGCTTCTCCCAAAGATATCTACGATTCGCCAGAGCAAGGCTGCCATAAATCGCCGAGACTTGCTCTTCGGTGCCATCGCTGAATTTAATTCTGAAGTGAAGGATCTACTCAGTTCTTTCCATTGGTTCCATGGTCACTTCCGACGAGTTCCATAACCCCCAAATACCACCTGCGAACCCCCGCGCCTCCGATCTAGCTTCGGAGTCAACCCTTATCCGCTTGATAACAGTTGTAGCCTCAGTTCCGCTGATCTTCGGTTCTGAAATAAAAAAAATGGTAGGATGGTGAGTCCTCTTGAATTCACGAAAGTGAGTTAGGAAGTTGGGGTCAGCTGCCCGCCTGCCCCCTGCAATTCCAAGAAAAGCTTTTTAACATAGATAAAACTATAAAGAGAAAAAGACCAAAAAGAGACTCAATTTACAAGAGTAAAGGGAAAGAAACACCCTGAGGAAATTCTAGCTTGCATCCACGTCCATTCCGGACGTAGCATGCATGACTCCTGCATTCTCAATCTTCACGTTGTTTCTCTGAAGGGTTGTTGCTACCACGCCTGATTTGGAAGGCTCCAAATTGAGATCAGTGTACGAGCTTCTCCCTTTCCTATTCCCAACGAGGTTGGTGCGATGTTCGACACCGGAAGCGAGGATGTGTTGGTGTCACAGGGGAGTCCGGTACGGCCATTTTTGTTATGATCGCTCGGCGTCCTTGCCCTTCCTTCCTCTGTTTGGTTACCCTCCGTCGATTTTCCTCCCTTCCTTCCCCCATCAGCTTTCTCTACACCTAGTCCCGCTACCCCGCCCTTGGTTTTTTCCTTCTCAATCTTAATCTTGCCAGTACCCCCCACAACTTGGTCGTTCTTCCTATTCAAATATCTTGGCTTTAGAACACCTCCCGTCTTCTTAGCCCCCTCAGTTGTACGCTTTTTAGATTTTGACCCTGCCGCCGGTCTTTGTCACTTGCATCCCAACTACCGTGGTAGTCTCGACCGCAGTCTCTACCTCAGCCATTTTAGAGTTGTTGGGCTTCTCGCGCATTTCATCGTTGAGGTCGTCAAGGACGTCAAACCGGGATCCCGAGGCATGCATACTACTTGCTTGCACCACCGTGGATCCCCTATGAGTTGGAGCCGGATTAGCTTGATTTCGTCGTTTTCTATTTCGGCTAGCCAACATCCATGGACCATAATCCTCAAAGATCTCCGGACGCTCCTCTCCGATGGTTTTTTGGAAGAACTGGCAGTAGCCAAACTCTCATCCATCTCGGGGGCTGTCATCGTTGAGAGCTTAGGACATGAGCTTTTATCATGCCTGTACTGACCACATTCAAAAAAAACATTATATAAACCTTCATACTCAACTCGCCGCACCCGTCGTTGAAGGTGATACTTGGAGATGAGCGGTTTAGCCAGATCAACTTCCACACAGATACGGGCAAAGTTCCCACGCAAGTACCCTCTTGTGGCCGTATCCATCTTTATGTATCTCCCAAGGGAGTTGCCAATATCCCTAAGAACGTCCTAGTCGTAAAAATCCATTGGGATCTTTGGGAGGCGCGCTGACTCGACTCTACTGTCACTCCAGGAATTGGCCAAGTGAAACCACTTCCTAAAGCGTAGTATAGCGGGTTAGGTTTATATGTCAACCCGGGTCCTAGATCTGATGACTACTCAGTGAATTCTTGTTATCTAGCAATGAAACTGGAATGCAAGTATAAACTAACAAACTAACAAAGCAAACAAACGGTTGTATTCAGGTTAAGAGAGGTCACCCGGATATGGTTCAACCTAGACTGCAGTTAAGCCGGATTGTAATTACCAAGTTCAGTTTCTATGATACTTATACTGCGGGAGGTTCTCAAACAGCCTGAAGTCTCGACTAAAGGTCTTCAGACCCTCTCAATCTGAGTCTCTAGCGGGCGACTAACCTCCACCGGAGTAAACAGATTGAGGCCCTAAGAACAAAACCTCCACTACCGGAGTAAATCCGGTACAGAATAGTGAGTTGGTTCCTCGACTAAAGTCACCAACTCCCTATCTTCAATCAAGGATACTCTATTAACCTAGGCAGATATTCTCATTCTAGGTTAAAGCAGAAACAACAAGAATTTTATCAGGATTCAAGTCATTCAATCATTAAAACCTCAATCGAATATAATCAATCATAGAATCAGTACTTGGGTTCATACAATCAAAGTCTAACATACAAATCTAGGGTTCTCCATACCCAGATGAATGGGAGAACTACTCCATGGAGAAAGAAGCAAAAGCAGAATCAGATGCGGAATTCATACTGCGAAGGATGGATTCCTGCTTCTGGACGTTGATCGGCACTTCTCCAAGCTCAAACAAGCCTCCAATGGTGTTGAAGATCAATCTAGGGCACTTGGGAACTCTTGCTCGTCACTTTCTCTCTCTAAAACTCGAATCCCCTTGAATTGTGGCTGAAAATCTGCTTAAAAGCATCAGTGGCCAAAGCACGGTCGAGGGCACGGCCGTGCTTTGCCTGACTCCGCCCGTGTCTCGGCCAGGGTTAATTACACGGCCAGCAGTTGGGAAGAAACACGGCCGTGCTTCGCGTTGGACACGGCCGTGTAATGCTTGAACACGGCCGTGCTTTGTCTCGGCCCTGCCGGTGTAATCCTCTCAGCTCTCGGCATAAAAAGCACGGCCACAGGAACACGGCCGTGTAATGCCTTAGGTGTGCCCGTGTTTTGGCTCCAGCTCACCGAAATGACTTCCGAATGCCCCGAAACTCGTGGTTAGCCTTCCCTTTGACGCCTGGGACCTGAAACATGACAAAATAGCACAACCCGGCGTAAAATAGGCCAAAACACACGACTATGACCCTCAAACGGATAAGAACTAGGGGCGCAAATATGTGCAATTACATCGTTATCAAACTCCCCCACACAGGATCAGCAGATATGGTCTTACCGCTCCTGGTAAAAATGGCGTCCAGCTGCTGATGCTGGTGAGGATCTCGAGGATTCGGGACAGTGGTGGCAGGTAAAGTCCCCGGTGCCCTGGTGGTGTTCTGGCGAGCCAAGATGCCCACCTGGGTCTGCAAATCCTGCAAAATGGCACCCTGGTTCCTCTGACCTGCCTCCAGTGAGGCTACACTCTGGTCCAACCTCGTGATAGTCGCCTGAGTGCTCGTCATGAATGAAGCTAGAATGTTTTCCAGCTTCGTCATCCTGTCATCTGGGGCTGGAGCTGCTACTGGCTCGGCAAACTTGCGCTGGGGCTGCTGGAATGGCTGCCCCTGCCTATGCTGGTAGGGCTGCTGCTGTGGGTCTAGCCCCTGGCGAGCCTGGAAGGGCTGCCACTGCTGAAAACCACCTGCTGGTGCTGGGAAACCAGGTGGTTTAGCGGTGTTGCTGCTCCAGGCGAAGTTGGGATGCTGGCGCCACCCCTCATTATATGTGCTACTGTATGGATCGAGGCGCCTCGCATTGGCGATGAAGGCCAACTGCTCCTGGGGTGTGGTAGACTCCCTCATAGCCTGGCAGTCCTCCACTAGGTGATTGGAGCTCTCACACCACTGACACTGAGCAACTGGAGGTGTAGCCAAACCTTTGCCTGGAATAAGACTGTTGGGCTGCTTCAATGTCTGCACTAGCTCAGCTACCTACTGCTCGAGCCCGGATCTGGTCTCCATGGCGTGCACACCACGGTCCCTGGAATGTCTGCCTCTGCTGCTCTGCCCCCAGGAATGATCTCTGGCAGCCAATGTATTAATCATCTGGTTCAGCTCGGGTGGAGTCTTAGTGAGAACATCCCCTCCTGGGCATAGAGACTCAATCACCCGCTGGCTGTCTGGAGAGAGGGCACTGTAGAAGTTCCCCACTGTGAATGCATCACTGAAACCATGATGGGGACACTGCCAGAAATATCCCATGTACCGCTCCCATGCATCACGAAGTGACTCATCTGGCTCTTGGCGGAAGTGAGTGATCTCCCGCTGTATCTCTGTAGTCTTCGATGCCGGATAGTACCTGTGCACGAACTTGTCAGCCAGATCGTCCCAAGAGGTGATGGACAATGGGGGCTGGGTCTCCAACCACCTCTTAGCATTCCCCGCCAGAGAATGGGGGAAGAGGTGAAGGCGGATTGCATCATCCGGGACACCATTCAGCTTGAACCCGTTCGTCAGCTGCAGAAAACGGGAAAGATGTACCCTGGCCTCCTCATCCTTCAAGCCATAGAATTGGATGGAAGATGTAATGAGCTGAATCCAGCATGGGTTGATCTCGAAGTTGTTTGCTGGGATAGGCGGGTAGAGGATGACCGGGCGGATGTCAGCAATCCGCGGAGTGTAGTAGTACTCCAAGGTGGGACCCAGCTGCGGTGGATGATGAACTCCATGATCCTGGGGTATGGGGTTGTTCCCCAAGACCTGATTCACCGGGGGAGCCTGCTGAGGATTCCCCTGGTGTTGATTGTAGTCCTCCATCTCGTACTCCTCCTCAGAATCACTGCTCACGTGGCCGTCTATGCGCTCTTCCCTAGCCAGTCTAGCTCGCTGTTGTCTCCTGAGCTGGCGACAGGTGCGGTCAATCTCTGGATTCAACGGCAGTAAACCTCCCGACTGGCTACGGGTCATGCACTACCTGCACACACTCAAGCAAGCAAACCCGTGAAGGCACAAGTGGGACAAAGCAAACAAAGCAGAAAGAAAGGCTAAATTAACAGAAATCACTTTTCTTCAACAACCTAGCCGTCCCCGGCAACGGCGCCAAAACCTTGACTCGACTCTACTGTCACTCCAGGAATTGGCCAAGTGAAACCACTTCCTAAAGCGTAGTATAGCAGGTTAGGTTTATATGTCAACCCGGGTCCTAGATCTGATGACTACTCAGTGAATTCTTGTTATCTAGCAATGAAACTGGAATGCAAGTCTAAACTAACAAACTAACAAAGCAAACAAACGGTTGTATTCAGGTTAAGAGAGGTCACCCGGATATGGTTCCCCCTAGACTGCAGTTAAGCCAGATTGTAATTACCAAGTTCAGTTTCTATGATACTTATACTGCGGGAGGTTCTCAAACAGCCTGAAGTCTCGACTAAAGGTCTTCAGACCCTCTCAATCTGAGTCTCTAGCGGGCGACTAACCTCCACCGGAGTAAACAGATTGAGGCCCTAAGAACAAAACCTCCACTACCGGAGTAAATCCGGTACAGAATAGTGCGTTGGTTCCTCGACTAAAGTCACCAACTCCCTATCTTCAATCAAGGATACTCTATTAACCTAGGCAGATATTCTCATTCTAGGTTAAAGCAGAAACAACAAGAATTTGATCAGGATTCAAGTCATTCAATCATTAAAACCTCAATCGAATATAATCAATTATAGAATCAGTACTTGGGTTCATACAATCAAAGTCTAACATACAAATCTAGGGTTCTCCATACCCAGATGAATGGGAGAACTACTCCATGGAGAAAGAAGCAAAAGCAGAATCAGATGCGGAATTCATACTGCGAAGGATGGATTCCTGCTTCTGGACGTTGATCGGCACTTCTCCAAGCTCAAACAAGCCTCCAATGGTGTTGAAGATCAATCTAGGGCACTTGGGAACTCTTGCTCGTCACTTTCTCTCTCTAAAACTCGAATCCCCTTGAATTGTGGCTGAAAATCTGCTTAAACGCATCAGTGGCCAAAGGACGGTCGAGGGCACGGCCGTGCTTTGCCTGACTCCGCCCGTGTCTCGGCCAGGGTTAATTACACGGCCAGCAGTTGGGAAGAAACACGGCCGTGCTTCGCGTTGGACACGGCCGTGTAATGCTTGAACACGACCGTGCTTTGTCTCGGCCCTGCCCGTGTAATCCGCTCAGCTCTCGGCATAAAAAGCACGGCCATAGGAACACGGCCGTGTAATGCCTTAGGTGTGCCCGTGTTTTGGCTCCAGCTCACCGAAATGACTTCCGAATGCCCTAGGGGCGCAAATATGTGCAATTACATCGTTATCACGCGCCCATACCATCATGTGACTAAGTTCATCATTTCGCCTCCACATCATTGGTAGTACGTATTGATACGCAATAAGCCATGGCCCACCAAAGAGGGCACGATTATAATCATCAGCATTTGTAAATTTCACACAGTAGTAGCCCTCACCCATCCCTGTCACCGTGACTGAGCTTATCCTCGCCCACATGGCCTGAAGGCGTCGTTGGATGAACAAGAAAGGTAAGGTCGGGGCCAGAACCCTAGCCACAACTGCTAATCGCCACTCTTGTCTCATCTTACTTTTTGTTGCCTTATGAACCCTAATATTTGGACAGTCCGATTCATTTTCTCCTTCACTATCCGAATCTTCAGCCAAGTTATCATCGTCGAAAAGGGCGTTGATATGACTTTGTGTTCCCGTGAGCCTATCCTTGTACGACGTAGCCTTCGTCCAAGTATCTTGTCTTGTTGTCTCCGTCGAGTCATGCCCATTCACCCGTGGTTGTGTCGAGTTGGTTTCTGTGGATGGGGAGTTTCTGCTGCTAGGGCACACCCAGAATCATCAGCCGGCCTCGCCCTGGAGGACGTTTGGTCTTCGATGATCATATCAACGCTTCCTCCGAAGCCCTCTCCCTCGTGAGTCTTGGATCTTTTAGCCAGCTGCCTGGGGGAGCCTTGGTCTGTTGGATCCAGTGGTCGTAGAGTATCCAAGGAAGCCATATCCGGTGTAACGCCGGCGGCTTCCATCTCAGAACAAACGAAAACGCCGTCCTAGTCGCGCCGCTGGGATTCTGGGAATTGCGGAGCTCATGCTAGGGTTTTTGTTTATTGCTCCCTTTTTGTCTCGATCAATCACCATAAATCATCAAATCTGTTATTGTATCATTGTTGATATTTAGTGTTAAAAAATAATAAATATAAGAAGAAGATCTTTTAATTAAGCCTATAGAAAGTTTTTATTTATGTTCTTTGCTCCGCTTTGGGGTGGTATTTTTATAATTTGTTGCTCCTTAATAGTACTAGTGATCTTCTCTTAAAAAAAGCCAATAGAAAACCATCTCCTATAAACTAGCTTGGACCCGGTCTATTGGCCGGATTATCTAAGTTTATTTTTCCAAAATTAGTTGAATATAGATTTTTGTTGGTGAATTTTAACAAAGATTTTTATTTATTTATCAACCATATCATTATATAATCAATATAAAAAGTAATGTTAAAATATGTTGAATCATTAATCAGAATAGTTACTTATTAGATTACACCTGAGGTTATAGCACCATAAGGTTACTCACCGGATCTGCTCCCCTTTGGCCCATTTTTGTCTTCTTCTAAAGAGGAGATTTGGAGCAGGATTGGAAACATGGAGAGGAATTAAGAAAACGAAGGGACACTTGGACCGGAAGGCAATTGGGAATTAGCTGGGGGAATTCTTTGGACTCAAACGATACTTTTTTTGGGAGAAGCAGCGCATGTGATTGGCGGGCGAACGAGGACAGCGCGAAAGAGCACTAGCGGGATTAGAGAAGGGAATATCTGGGTGTTCTTCGACTACTATCAGTATTTCTTTCTTCGTTCCTTAGTATCATGATGAACAAGAACATGATTATATCTTTTGATTTCATCATGAACGAAACCCCAATTTTTGGGAGGAAACACCATAAGATGTAGCTATTTCTAGACTTGATTGATTGATTCGTATTTCTTTTCTTCCAATCCCTATTGCATGAAATTGCTTAATGCTTTGTTTGTCTGACCAACAATACAACGATTTGTAGTTAATTAGGTTATTAGCGACAATGAAACCCTAATAACTGAACCTATTTCATGTGACATAGTAACTTATCGAAGCGACAATGGATTAAATAAGGTACTATGCGGTCTTGATTGGGGTATCGGTCTTCAGGCTAAACAGTTAATTCATTGAGCTACGACAGTAGGATTTGATTTAATTGTTTAGTACGTAGTAATTCCCGACAAGGATAGCTAGCACATTCGTGATAACCTGGTTGTACAGAGTTGGATTAAACTTATTGGAGTATGTGAATTAATCCGGATATGATAGGTAGTGAGTCCGGTGTTTCTCCCAGAGCTTTTTCCATTGAATTTCTCCCGACAGTTTTCATTTAATTAATTTTTTTATTTATTTTGCTTTTAGAATTTAGCCTCATTCAACTATTTTCACTTATAGTTTGCTCCATAAAATTGATAGAATTTAAGATTGTATCAGTCCCTGAGAGACGATACCCAGACTTCTAGTTTACTACGAGATAGGAATTTGGCATATACGTTTTTCTCTATCATTATTAACAGATTATACCACAGACATTGAATCAAACTCAAAAGATCTATTATATATACATTGCAATATGTCGGTTGAAGATCGTTAACCATATATATTAAATTAAAATTCATTAAACCTTTGCACAAAACACCTAGCCTCGAGTCCTAATTTAATATTGTCCACATAATAGTTGTTTCTAGTGTATGCATATGTAGCTTCATCCAATCACAAGGAAGTCTGAAGAAAACTGAGATAGCCTTGCTCGACTATAGTTCTTGTAAATCTCAATATCCTTTGAAGAGATGAATATGGAACCTCTGATTTCTTCGCTGACGGTCGAGCTGAACCCCTCGGACCGGCCGCCGGACCCATGTCAAACTTTGTCGAATGAAAGTGATGGGAGACTGTCCTCTGGGAACGTCGCCGTCTCTGGCTCTTCGGACGCGGCAGCTGCAGCGAACGCGACGGGAATGTTGGTAGATCCTTCCCCGGTGGAGGCGGACCCGCTCCAACAGACTCCGATAAGGCCGCTGTCATATGCCAACGTGGTGACAGGGTCGAACCCGGAAAAGATGCAGAGTAAGGTGTCTTGGACCCCGGTCGGAGAGCACGACCTAATAATGGGGAGTTACAATGGGGAGCCGGAGTTAAAGATCTCTAGCGTTTTCAAAGAAAAGCTATGTAGTCAGTGGCAGCGCACGCTGGTGGTCCGAGTGGTGGGGCTGAATATCTCTTTTCTCACGTTCAGTAACAAGATCAAAAACCTCTGGCGACCTTCAGGAGCAATGGAGATTATGGCACTTGGGCAAGAATGCTTTCTGGTTAAGCTTAGCAACGACACCGATTACTTTCGAGCACTGACAGAGGGCCCCTGGGTAATCTTCGATCACTATTTGATTGTCTTCCAGTGGACACCCGAATTCAGACTCTCTGATGCAACTCCAAGATCCATGGTGGTGTGGATACAATTGCCGGCCTTCCCGGTGCATTTTTATCACAAAGAGATCCTCTTCATGATAGGGAATATGATTGGCCGCTCAATCAAGCTGGACTTCCACACGCAACATCAACAGCGCGCGAAGTTTGCCCGGATGGCGGTGGAGCTCGACCTTTCCAAGCCATTAGTAACGCGAGTTCGCTTAGATGGGAAATGGCAATACATAGAGTATGAGAACCTGCCTGCAGTTTGTTTTGAATGCGGAAAAATTGGACATACGAATTCGTTTTGTCCGTCCCTGGCGGCGAACACGCCAGCAGTCACCACCGGAACATTGACAATGGTACCGGAGGGCTGGTCGGAGACTTCGCCGGAGGACAAGGCCGGATTTGGCCCTTGGATGCAGGTTACGAGAAGGCCACGGCGCGGATCGCGGACCTCTAAGAAAGGAAACTCTGGAGCGATGCAGGGAGACTTGCCAAATTTGGGGAAAACTGGAAAAGGAAAGATGTCGAGCAGGAATATGGAAGTTTCTAACGGGCAGAAGGAGTCTCCAAACCAACAGGAGGAGACGGTGTGGGGCGGGACACAAGAAAAAGGAAAAACGCATTAGACAGGGAAACGTAATGGGAAGGAGGAAGTTAGTAGAGGGGGGATGGAAGCGACAACTGGAGGCAAAGGGGTCCTCGGGCCTATTCCTCTTTCCTCAGCTGCGGGCCCAATGCAAGGACCTAATACGACGAACGTTAATTCCCGGAACAAAGAATTGGGCTCATCTTCCACCTTTAGTGGGCCTAAAGTTAGCTTAGGCCCTGCTAAGCATTTGCCCAGTAAAGGCCTAGCTCCCCCAAGCCCGCCGCCAATACAGGAGTTCTCTGGCCCCAATGCCACGCTCATCCAGGTGGTGTCGGTTCCTTCTATTGACAACCAAAAGGAAGCGGACCGCAAGGCAGAGACACCGTCGACGGCAGCTCGGACAAAGAAGCGAAACGAGGAGAAAAATAAGAACTCTAAAACCCGCAAGTCGCCGAAGAAGATCTCCGCCAAAGCTCTCCAAGTCTGGACACCTGTCAAAGAAAAGAAGACCAAATCTAGAGCTAGAGTGGCAACTCTGACTCTCCAAGAAATTGCTGCGTGGACGGGTGCAGCGAAATTGGGTTAATCCGAGGAAGCCTTTGGGAATGATGCAGAGGAGCCGAGTCCTTTCGAGGCCTGTGCTTCGGCCGACCCAGAATCTGCCCCCTAGGCTCCCGCAGCGGAATCTTTTCTTTCCCCCTCCCCTTCTCTTTGCTTTTACCATCTAAATGTCTGCTGCTGTTTTGAGCAATTTTAAAATTCTTTCTTGGAATGTTGGAGGCGCTGGTAGCAGCGCCTTCGTCAGACTCTCAAGCTCATTGTGTTTAACCATAAACCTGACATTTTGATTCTTTTGGAACCGCAGATCAGCGGGGAGGTGGCGGACAGAGTTTGTGGTCGGATGGGTTTTCCCAACATTATGCGAGTTGAGGCGGATGGCAGAAGAGGCGGCATCTGGATTTGCTGGGATGCTAGAGCCCTCTCGTTGGAGCTGATGTCAGCCTGCTTCCAACACTTAACCGTGAAAGTCACTGGAGCGAGGGCCCCCCCTGGCTTCTGACGGCAGTATATGCGAGCCCAAATCAGGGATTGCAACACTTCTTGTGGGAAGCCATTCAGCGCACCAGAGACGAGGTTGACCTTCCTTGGCTTCTGATTGGGGACTTCAATGCCATTCGAAGCCCGTCGGAGCAAGCCGGGTTTGCTTCTCCGTCTATCTTCCGCCGCTGCAAACGGTTCAATGACAGGATAGACCAAGCGGGGCTTATTGACATTGAGTTCTCTGGTCCGCGCTTCACTTGGACTAGGGGGAGCCGCCTAATGGGTATAAAGCCAGCCGCCTTGATAGGAGCTTATGCAACACTAGTTGGAACCTTCTCTGTCCCAACACTACCGTTCACCACCTTCCAAGACTTCATTCGGATCATCACCCAATTCTGACAATGTTTGGAAATCAGGGAGTTCACCATACTACTTCTCGTCCTTTTCGTTTCGAAGGGGCTTGGTTATCGCATGACTCGTATGATGCTTTTTTTGACAGGGAATGGGACTCCCATGCTCCAATTCAGGAAGCCTTGCAGACGATGGCCGAGAAGCTAACTGAGTGGAACAAGTCCACTTTTGGCAATGTCTTTCAAAAGAAGAGGAGACTGCTTAGCCGAATCCATGAGATCCAAAAGAAGATTGCTAATGACTTCTCCCCAGGGCTCTTCAAACTCCAATCGAAGCTTGAGAAGGAGCTTGATGATGTGCTTGAACAAGGGGAACTGATCTGGTTCCAGAGGTCAAGGGAGCAGTGGGTGCGATTTGGAGAGCGGAACACTGCCTATTTTCACCAGCAAGCGATCATTCGAAGACGGAGGAACAGGATAGCGAGCCTGAAAAACGACAACGGAGAGTGGGTGTCTGATCCGCAGGAGTTGGCGGCCATGGTTTTTGACTTTTTTGCTCTTCTATACCTGCAGGATGATCAAGAGTACTCGGATAACATGCCTAAACATGCTTTCCCGAGGTTGTCTCAGGATGATTTCCGCCAGCTTCTCCTCCCCTTCACAGGAGCGGATATTTTTAAGGCGATCCAAGACATGAAGCCTTTTCAAGCCCCGAGCCCGGACGGGTTTCAAGCCATTTTCTATCAAAGATCGTGGCAGGTGGTCGGGAAAGCGCTTATTGACTTGGCTCTTAGTTTTTTCTCTACAGGTGTCCTTCCGGAGGAAGAGGTGGAGTCGACAGTGGTTCTCATCCCCAAGGTAGATCATCCGGAGATGGTTTCACAGCTGCGCCCGATCTCCCTCAACAATGTGTGCCTGAAAGCCATTATCAAAGTCATCACCAACCGACTTAAGCCCATCATGAAGAAGCTAGTGTCTCCCAGACAAAGCAGCTTCATTCCTGGCCGTCAGACCACAGATAACATCATTGTTTTGCAGGAAGTTCTTCACACTTTGAGAAAGAGGAAGGGCAAGAAAGGAGGGATCGTGCTAAAAATTGACTTGGAGAAGGCGTATGACCGGCTCAGATGGGACTTCCTCCGGGACACTCTCAAGGAAATTGGCCTTCCTAGCTCGTGGATTAGCTTCATCATGTTTTGTGTCGAACACAACAGGATGAGATTGCTATGGAACGGAGAGCTCTCTGGTCCGATCATTCCTACCAGAGGCGTTCGTCAGGGAGACCCTTTATCTCCTTACCTTTTTTTGTTATGCATGGAAAGATTGTCTCGTAGAATTGAACAGGCTATAGGGGACAGGCTTTGGAAGCCATTGAGATTGTCCAAAGAAGGTCCCCCTATATCTCATCTGTTTTTTGCAGACGATCTTATTCTTTTTGCAGAAGCTGATAGCTCTCAAGTCAGGATCATTAAGCAATGCCTCGATGAGTTTTGCCAGAGCTCGGGACAAAGAGTTAACTACAACAAGTCGGCTATCTTTGTCTCAGCTAATATTGATCGGAGGAGAGCTTGCCGCCTCTCTTCTCGGGCTGGGATTCCGCTCACGGTGGATTTAGGGCGCTACCTTGGGGTAATGGCAATTCACGGGCGAGTGACTAAGGCGAGGTATCGGGACCTGATGCTGAGAATTCAGAAGAAGCTCGCTCCATGGAAAGCCAGACACCTCTCCCTAGCGGCCCGGATTACAGTGGTGAAATCTATATCTGCCTCTATCCCCATTTATCCTATGCAAACAGAACTGCTTCCTGTGAATGTTTGCAGGTCTCTTGACCGGATTAATAGAGGCTTCATCTGGGGGGACACTGAAGCCAAGAAGAAAATTCACCTGGTTGGATGGCAGTAGCTGCTAGTTCCGAAATGCAATGGAGGCCTAGGCATTCGCTCAACGAGGGAAGTTAATCTTTCCATGCTTGCCAAAGGCGGGTGGCGTGTCATTCAGGAGAAGGATAGCCTCTGGGTTCAAATTGTCCGGGCAAAATATGGTGGGAACCGGCAAAACCTTGAGATCCTCAAACAGAGTCAGGGAAGTTCCTTTACCTGGGCCAGTTTTACTAAGGCTTCTGCTTTATTAAAATGGGGATGTGCGTGGAACATTCATAGAGGTAACCAGACTAAATTTTGGTCCGATCCGTGGATTGTGCAGGTACCCCTTCAGGAGTTGGCTACATCACAAATCCCGGAAGAAGACCTGCAGCTCCTGGTGTCGGAATTCGTGGATGATGATGGGAACTGGAAGGTCGAGATGTTTAGCCATCTCCTCCCACAGGAGATCCAGCAGAAGATTACAGCACACACTGTCGACCCCTTGGCTACAGAAGAGGATAGATTGTTCTGGAGTCCAACTTCCGACGGCCGCTTCACCACCAAGAGTGCCTACCAGTTATTACAGCCTATTTTCTCCGATGATCAGCAGAAGTGGTGGAAGTCTGTCTGGCAGCTCCCGGTGCCTGAGCGGATACATTGCTTCATTTGGCTGATTGCTCACAGGAAGGTGTGTTCAAATGATATCAGAGTTCAAAGGCATATGACCCAGGATGGTTCTTGCTATAGATGTGCGAACCAAGTAGAGAACATTGATCACATCTTTCGGCTTTGCCCGCCTGCACTTACCTCTGGCATAGATGTGTTCCCATGGATGCTCAGCAGGAATTCTTTAGCTCCCCTTGGGAGGGATGGTTGCACAAGAACCTTACAAGCAAGACCATGACTGCTACCGGGGTTCCTTGGGATGCCTTCTTTAGTGTTGCTCTCTGGTGCTTATGGAAGAATAGAAATGAAGGAGCTTTTAAGGGCACCTCCAAAACGTTGTCGGCCCCATCGCTCATGCAAAGTATCAAGATCAGAGCGGAGCTATGGTACAAGGCGTGGAATGCGCCTTCTCCCATCAGCGGCAGAGTGAACCAGCCCCCGAACCGAGCCATGAGGGATATTGGGTGGAAGTCCCCACCTGCAGGGTGGACGAAGATCAATGTCGATGGGGCAGCTAGTGGCTCGCAAGGGCTGGCCGGAGCAGGTGGTGTTGCTCGCTCGTCTGAGGGCACCTGGGCGGGCGGTTTTGTCTCAAGCCTCGGAGATTGTTCGGCAACGGGGGCTGAACTCTGGGCTATCTACCATGGATTGAAGTTGGGATGGAAGCTTGGTTATAGAACTCTCATCATCGAATCGGACTCGCAAATGGCCATCCAACTTGTGAAGAACAGGAGTGATCCTCTGCACCCGTACGCAGCGTTGCTCTCGGCTATCAGGAGGAAGCTTTCACTTGACTGGGTGGTGAATCTGGTTCATACATACCGGGAAGGGAATAGAGTCGCGGACTGGCTCTCGAAGCACAGTCTCGTCTATCCCTACGGTATGTACGAACTAGAGGATCCCCCACCAGAATTGCTTGCCATTTTACAGGACGACCAAAGAGGGGTCACTTTTCCTAGGAATGTCGTGATCGACACCACTGTTCTCCCCATCTGATTCTTCTTCGCTGTCCCCTTTTGTTTTCTGCTTCTTTGGCCGTGTGCCTCCTTCTGATGCAAAAAAAAAAAATATGTAGCTTCATCCACCTTGTAATTTATTATTGGATCAAGTTTATTACTTTTGAATGAACTCCTTTTTCATGAATAAAACTAAGCTCCAATTGATAAAAAAATTGTCCCTAGACCCATAAATAAAGCATAAAGTTACTATCACACAATCTAAAGATATAAGACAATTAGACTTAGCATTTCGTTTGTAAATTTTGAAAATATATCAAATAAAGACAATTCTCATTTCTTTGTTGAACTTATACTCAACTCATCTATTAATTTTAAAAATGAGCTTACATATTGTATAAAATAGTTAATCATCCGAGTAGTCTACACACGAATGAGGAATCACATTAACATACGAATAACAAAAGTAAAATTAGTATCAACTAACAATTTCTTTCTCGACAAAATCAACACATATGTACAATATTGTTGCGTGTATACTTGGTCTAGCATTATTAGATTAAGAAGTAGGCTATTTTTTTAATTTGACTAAATGAAAAGAGCATAGTGTCCTCTGAGTTCTGACATTGTTGTTATTATAATCACTATCATTATTCTATTGATTTTGATTATAAAATCCAAATGTACTAATAGCAAAATTATGAACCATAAAAAAGGGAATCAGGAGGGAGTTAGTCATCCTCCCTATGAACTTTATTTTTGGATATTACTGGAAGATTGATTGATTGATTGAGTAAAGGGAAATTGGGAAAATATTTGGGTAACTGGTGGGTTGAATTTTAAACGGGTTATTCAACAATTAGAGAAATATAGGCGAAAATAATAAAGCCAAGGGGGAAATACTTGGAGCCTAGTGTGAAATGGGCTAATGCATGCTTAATGTAACGCCTGGCTTTTTAAGAATTGGGCTGGGCTAGAACATAAACCCATTCTGCATTTAGGCAGAAAAACATAAAAATAATAGGCTTTTTGTGAACTAAAATGTTCATAGCTGAAATTTTTAAACGGAGAAAACCCAACAAAACTCCACAATTTATTATTCTTATGATGATTTTGATTGTCAATTGTTTAAAGGAAAAATTTAGAATTCAGTTGTTTATAGTGGGTTTAGTTAGCTAACCCAAAGTTTGCCAAGTGAGGCTCCCAGTTTATTTCTAGTCGGTTTGTCACAAATGCCCCTCCAAAAATTATGGTCCACTCTCTAATGGCTCATATTTACTATTTTGAAAATAAAAATTTTAACATAAATGAAAGAACCTACCTTGTGGCACTTTCAATTAGGGATGACATTTTTATCCATACGTCCATACCCTATGGGTATTTTGCTATCCAACCTAATTGGGTTGGGTATGAAATCCAAATAGATAGTATATGGGTAGAGTTTGATGGGTTTGTACCCATACTCATTTATTTGAGTTGCATTGGTGTTTTGATTCATCGATTTGGATTTTACTCATTCCCATATGAAAATTACAGTTTGGTACGTTAACTTATTAGAATTTAGTACCTAAAATTAATTTTTTTGCATATAAGTCCTCAAAATATCGATAAAATTAACATTTTAGTAGCTAATTTTTTAGAATTACATTTTGATACCTAATTTTTAAAATTTTTACAAAATAGGTTCAATTTTTCTATGTGTAGTTAAAACACTCTCAACCATATGGGTATCCATATTCAACCCATCCCCATTTAGCAATGTGCCAATGTTGTCAGAACCAAACTGGAGCATAACCTGATAACATAAACGGCTCGCACTTTAATGGTCCCGATATTGAACCGTTAAAAATCGTTAGAGAACCGGTACCTTATAAATAAATACAAATATCATAAATACAAGACACCTACGATAATTTAATTTACAGGTACCAATTAATTATTTTTCATTATATATATTACAACCACTACAACAATCTTCTCATATAACTATGAAATATATTGTAGCTAGAGTATGAAATTTTGAAGCTAAATATTTTAGTTACGGAAAATTTAATTTGTTGCTTGCGTAGCTAAAAGTGGCGCAGCTAAAAGTTAGCTACACATTTTTCTGTTTGCATAGCTGATAATCAAAACATTTAGCGGCAAACAAAATATATTGTAGCCAAATAAGAGACTATTGCTACACAAATGAAGTTTATGAAGCAAAACTGTGAAGATTTTTGGTTTCGTAAGAGGCCATATATGGTTGTATCTGACCATTAGCTACGAAGTAATAAGTTAATACAGCTTAGAATATAGTTAATTTCAATTATTAATTTGCCACAAATTATCCTGTAGCTAGTGTGGCTTTGTTCTTACTGCGAATAGACTCGTAGCTGTAAGTTTTATTTGTACATATTTTAGTTATAAATTCAGAAAACTGAAAAGTGATTAGATATATGAATATTATAGATTATGATTTTATTGATTAGAATATTTACTTTCCCGTAAATAAAAAATTTGAATTATCCTTCAATTTGGTACAAATTTCTTTGGAATTATCCATAAATGATTCTTTTATGGTTACCATCACTGATTATTCTGTTATTGTAACGGACTGGATTAATAATTATAAAATAAAAACACATATATATAATGTGCGCTTAATATATAATCAATCATAAGTCATAATATTAATAAAAAAAATAAGAACTATAATTATCCAACAGGTCAAAATTATTAACAATATATCCATCTCTTGAATGAATGGCTGTGAAATCAAATAACAAAAAGATGAAGATACCAAAATACAAGAATCCTATACAGAAATATTGAACAGTCGTAATGAGTTGACAGCGTGTATACAACAGATTCTGGTGAGAAATTGGTGATCAAATGAAACGCCCAGTTATGGAGATGAAGATCCTCTATCAAGGTTGTTAACCCGCCGGTTGATCCGGATCCGGTTGAGCTAGTGGGTCAAGGGTTAATGGGTCACCCGTTTTAACCCGGTTTAGCCCGGAAATATGGAAAGCGTCATTATATTCTGATAAGTTATATCAAATCTCATTTAACATATAAGTTATAACATATAATATTACACCAAAATAACATTTCGTACTTAGATTCAACATATAGTGAAAATTCACACACACTTATATAACATTAATATTCAAATGTTCAACTTAGGATTCCAAAGCTTGAGTTAGGCGAAAAGAAAAATCGGAAAATAGGCGCATTTCGCAAAACAAAGAAAAAAATGACACAATTTGAACTCCAACCCGATATCTTGTGCCGGTCGACACGACGAGTGCGTGCGGCCCGTTTTTCTCACCGAGTCAGGGTCAAAGTGGGTCAACCCGCGGGTCGACAACCTTGTCCTCTATGCTTTTTTGAGCAGAAGTTTCCTCGTCCCTTAGCTGCAAAACTTGCTCAACAA